CCATACATGTTGTGCTCGTGCCTGAGAGTTCGCTGTTATGATGGCACACATTAATAGGAATAATGTCCCTGCTGACGGATTGCCTTCTGGTGCCATGCGTGCAGCTTGGTCCTGTAGGTTCTTGATGTCTCCCCAGGTAATGTTGTGGGCCCGTCGGTGTCTTGGTCGTCTCTGCCGCTGGGGCTGGTGGTCCTCTATGTCCAGGTCCTCCATTTCCTCTACCAGGGGTGATGGTGGTGGTGGTCTACGGCTCATCGCTGGTGGTGCAGGGTTTGATGTTACAGGCAGGAATCCATGCGGGATTTTTCTCACCTTCTGGAAAAACACAAGCAAACCCTCTCCCTTGGGTTAAGAGTGGGTCGGGGCCCTTCCAAGCCCTGGTTAGTGGGTCTCTCCACCGGACCAAGGGGAGAGGTGTTGGTACGTCCCTGAGACCTTCCCAATGTTTGAAAATGGGAGGAAGACCATCGTGGGCAAAATGGAAATAATTGAGAGTTAATAAGGTCTGTTGTAATAGTTGTTGGGGTGTGCCTGTATTTTAAGAAGTATTATATAAAATAACTTGTTTTGCCCTTTCTTAGAGGCAAAAACTTAAGATATATACTTATTTTTATTTTTATTTGATAAAGCTTTCCATGTGATTTCAAGCACATTAAATTGGCTTTATTAAAAAATCCTTTAAGAAGAGAGAATAAACTTTTGAAAACATTTCAGGGCCCATGAAATGTTTTAAAGTCATTCCTTGGTTATAGTACTTTTTATAATTATTAAGAGATATTAATTAAATTAAAACTGACAAGATTTTCTTTCTATATTTTAGACATTTAGTTACCACAATTATAATTTTTCCCAATTTAATTTAACTAGAACTTTAAACTCTTAGCTGGCAAGTTAAACATTCAGCATTTCTTTAGATTAATAAAAGTAGGTGCTTCCTTTCTTGTGTAATTTTAAGTATATTGTATTAGTCTAATTTAGTATTGGAAGGGTTAAAGAGAAGAAAACTGGACAGAGATAAGTTTATTTTGCTTTGCTAGCAGCTAGGGTCCTCGCCTAACTTAGATAAGCAAAACTCAACAAAGGACTCTCTCTCCCTGCTCTCCATGGCAACGGCCCTTTTTTTTTTCTTTCTTTGCATTAACCATTTGGATATCAGGAATATTGTTGCAGATTTGGTGGCATTTGCTGCAGCTTTGGGGTTAACATTCACAGGAAAGAGTCCAGGGGTCTCTAGCCCTAAAAACTTCTTTGCTCTATCTCTCTGGCTACACAAGGATTGATATATCCCCGTCCATGGATTATCATCGGTGTCTTCCAGGAAAGGGTTACTTGGGGGCTGCTGGGCAGTTAAACTTCTTGTTCGCTCTGCGAGGGGAGCAGGGGGGTGACTCCGGCAGGAAGCCTCCTGGTGAGACTTCCCTGCTTTCACCTTGCTAGAGGTTTTTTCTCTCTCAGTTTCAGCCTTCCTTGAGCTTTGAGAAACAACTTTTGTCTTGTCGAAAACAGCCCAGGAATCTGTGGGGCAGAGGACTCTGGAGGGGAAT